AGTCCAGAAACAGTCCCAAGATCATCAGGCAATCATGGCAGACTGCTGAATTGCTGAATGAAGACTCAGTTACATGCAGGGATCAAGCATGCAAAAAAAAAAAAAAGCTGCAGACCATTCCATTACTGGAAGCAGACCACATCCCTAAGGCCACTCACCTGCTCCAGTAGATTCCACCATGGAGTTGATTACCAGTCTCATCATGGGAAAGAACTACATTCAGCAACTCAAAACCAGGCACAGTCAAGCTGACACACAACTCAACTACCACATCTGCCCTCCAACAGGCTGGTATCCAACTAGAATCAGGGATCAGAGCTTTGGGAAAAGGGGAGGGTGACAGCAGACTCTGGTAGTAGGGTCAATGTCTTATAAGAGAAAAATCTTGGGCTGCCCAACCCTGTGCCAGGGTGGTAATCTGCCCAAGACAACCAGTTGCAGGGCAGAGACAGTAAACATTTAAGCTTCAAATAAATTAAGACCAGTTTCATTGCTTTATGCTGTTTAGAATTTTGCACTAGTACTGTAACTGGCCTAGAAATTTCCCTCTCTTGGGTACTACATTTGCCTAAAATTTGAAATGAATAAATACCCAACTAGCTATCTTGATTTTAAAAAAAAGAAAACAAACTTTAGTCAGTTAACATTCTAAAGATCATACAAACTAAACAGTTGGCAAAAAGTTTATAGAAACCAGTATCAATGGCCCCTTTCAGTTGCTTAAACGTTATGAGACCATTCCCACTTATCATTTAAAAAACATTGCCCATCATCCATCCTAGTTGCTATACACAAACCTTTTAACAACCTTAAAGATAGCTTTCCTTGCCTTTTATTCCTGACAGATCAAACTTAATTCTTCATGAGAAAGGTAACATCAAGAAAGCCAGACCAAAGCACTGGAAACTGGGTCACTGATGGGGCCTTTCCAGTAGGTCGGTGGGAAACAGATGCAACCCATTGCTTAGACCTGGTTTACTCTTGGAGCAGTATATTCCTTCACTTCTGAGTCATGTATCAATCAACAGTGTATTCTGACTGTAACTAACCTGATGTACAATGTATGTCACTAAACGGTTTAGACTGTTGTAGCATTTGGAGGTTCCTCTTACACCCCAATCCCAAAGCAGTGGACTTTCTTCTCCCAGTCCTCCTGCCTCAAATTTCTTCTGTAGTACACTACTTAAAAAACTGAAACCCTCACATTTTCACAGAAAGACAGCTGAGTGGATTTTAAACAATACACTAATTAAGATGTCCTAAAAAATCAAGTGCACCATGTTAACAATATCATGTACAGAAAATAAGAGGAAAGCAATTCACTCTAATCATTTTAAACTGAAGTTGGAAATAAACCTATGCTATCAAGTATACCACGTAACAGTCTACTACATACACATATCCAAAAAGCAGATCAACAATTCAGCCACTGTTTAAAGTGTTTAAAACAAACACAAATCTTTACTTGTTTTCCATTTATTTAAGAAAAAACAACACTTGCAACAGGCTTCCTTGCACTAGCAACCTCTATCTGGGGTACAAAGGCAAATTTGGAAAATTAAGTAAGTCTGAATTAATGGGGGAGCTCTGATAGTACAGTGCCTAAGGTATCTGACTGCGGAAGGAAGACTGGGCAATCTATTTCTGCAAAGATTTACCACCTCAGAAACCCAAAGGGGGTCACTATGAGTCAGAGTCGACTCCATGGCAGTGAGTTTGGTTTTTTGAAGGCAGTGGGGTTGGGTGTATTTTTGGCTTGGAAGTGTTTAACGTGCCAAATCGAATTAAATCTAAGATGGCAGTGACTGTAAGATGCAACATTATTTCATGCAACACTAGCAAAGAAAAAAGTTGTCAATCTCCCTCATCACCTCCTGTCTTCAGAGATTAGAATGTGCTTTAGAATCAAGGAAATACCAGAACCCTAAACAAATCACTTGACTGCTAACCAGAAGGCTGGCGGTTCAAACCACCAGCCACTCCTCGGAAGGAAGATGGGGCAATCTACTTCCGTAGTGACACTGCCTGGGAAACCCAAGGAGGGGTCGCTATGAGTCAGGACCGACTCAAAGGCACATAACAACAACAACAACAAACAAATTACATCTGTTCAAAGACTGGAAAGCAAATTATGTAAACAAAATCGTCTTGGATAAAAACATCTACCCTTATCTACCATGGTACAATGTCATCAGTACTCTGGCCCAACTCTTAATGTCTGAGCTGTCAAAAAGATCAAAGTTTTTAGCAGCTATATGGATGATTAATAAAGTGAAAGGCAACCCAAAATTTGGATCTTGAGATTAAAAGCCACTATTCAGTGAGGAAAACAACAGTAAAGAGCAAGTTGTTGTTGTTGTTGTTATGTGCCATCAAGTTGGATGCGACTCATAGTGACCCCTCCAAGAGTTTACTCCAAAACAGCTGGTCACTGAGGATATGAGTTCACTTCACACTGAGACAAAAGGTGCAGTATAACGTTACATCCCATCCCACCTGCCACACCAACACAACTGCATCGACTAGACAACATATTTGCAAAATACTAACTACAGTCAAAGTAAAACGATACATTTAAAACGGAGAGGAAACAGTATTTGGTTGCAGTTTTACATTTTAAAAAATTGAAGTTGAAAGCTAACATGGAATCAATATTTGGTGGTATTTTTTCCTCAGGACTCTGAGCCAGCACTACAGAAAGCTTTGTCACCCCACACTGAACGTAAAGTCATCTTCAGTCTTATCCACACTGAGGAACTCTGATTCTAAGTAACTCACGCTGTGGTTACTGTGTGCCTGGAGGAGATTCCAACTCAGCAACCCCACAGTACACAGGAGGACTGGCCCCTAAGGTTTCCTGGGCCCGTCATCTTGACTCTCTTCTGAGAGTCGCTGAGTGCTTAACCACTGCGCCACCAGGGCTCCTTATATTTCAGGCTAAGTACTTTCAACGCTGAAAAACAGTTATGTGCATTTTGTCACCCAAGTGACCTTTTTTAATGACTTCCACCTCTTGTAACAGTCATGTAAAGTTTCTTCTGAAAGCAGTGAATTCAGGGAAACCCCCACTATGTGCCTTTCCTCCAAATCCTATCACTTTCAGAAATTTGCTTGTTGTTGTTGTTGTTATGTGCCATCGAGTCAGCCCCGACTCATAGCGACCCCTCCTTGGGTTTCCGAGGCAGTATCACTACGGAAGTAGGATTGCCCAACCTTCCTTCCGAGGAGTGGCTGGTGGGTTTGAACCGCCAGCCTTCTGGTTAGCAGTCAAGTGCTTTAGCCACTATGCTACCAGAGCTCCCTCAATTAACTGCAGTCGGGCTTGTAACCTCCCCAGCTAACTGTACTCTTCTGTTTTGACACTTTTAGGAGGAAAAAAGGCCAATCTTGACCTCAGAAATCATCACAAAGTCCTGGGTCAGTTCCTGGGCAAAACCAGTGGGCCCAGAATACGTGCCCAACCAGCTCAGCTCACCTGGCAGTCACAAAGCTGGCTGCAGGTAGCCAGGCCACTCCTCCCAAGTTAGCTGAGATTTCCAGAGGGGGTTAAAGCAAGAGTGGGAGCAGGGCCTGGAACCAGTTCATTCCGGTGGGCCACCTGCTGAGAACCTGCCTCTCCAAGCCAGCTACGGAATCCCAACCCACCTGGGGATCTTGTTAAAATGTGGATTCTGGTTCCCTACAGCTGCCCTGGAGAGGCAAGCTCTCGGCAGGGGGCCCACCGCAATGAACCCCTTGGAAGCCCGGAGTGGGAGGTCTTCCCTTGGCCTATGGGCTTCTGCCTAACGTTCTTCGGTCTTCTCACCCCATCTGGTATCTTGCCTGCCCACTCTTTTAGCTGACTGCCACCCACCGTCACGGTGAAAATCACAAGACTTCAACAAATAAGACGCAAAACCCTTTGCCCTCAAGTCGCTTCCCACTCATAGAAACCCTATAGCAAGTTCTCCGGAAAAGGGAGAGGCACCCAGCCCACCTTTTTATTTTTAAATCTAAGACACAATAGCCCAGATCAGGATAACATATCAGTGATGACTAAAACGCAGCATTCTCGCCAATCTCTAAAATAAACATCAAACGTATGCAACAGCTTCTCTTTGTTACTGAAAACCAGGCACACATTTGGGAAACAGTCTTTTTTCAATTCTTGAAGGCGAAGGGTGTCTGATCGCTATTAATTCGAGTTAACCAGAATTTGCAAGGACTTTCCTGTGTCTGTACCTAAAGATTTTTTTCCAAATTAAGTAATATTTGGGATTCAGAAGTTAACTTATACAGTACACTGCACTGCACTAGAATACAAACTTGACTTGATAATAAATGACTTTTGGGGGAAGGGAAAAAACACCTTCCATTATTTCAGTATTCACTTGTCGGTCTATCTGTCCTCCAAAGAAGGGGAGAGGGTGGCACGGCTCGATCTTACCATGAATCGCCTCCAACTCCTAGCAGGAAATCGTGAGATGGGAGGCATTCAACACACGCCTCTGATAACAAGTTGAGGCGTTCCAAAACACCTTCCAGATTCCAGACCCGTGGCCTTGCTCTGGTGAAATGAGACCTCGTCGCTCCAGACCTGACCCAGGACGGGAGGAAAGGGAGACACCGGCCCCATCCCACACGGCAGCAGATCCTCTGGTCATCCCGCCAGGGTGCTGCTCCGGACGCCTTTCCCACTCCATCCCGGGAGCCTACGGCGGCAGCTGGGAGAACGGCAGGGCCACCGGCCCCCGCCCCACCCCGCAGACAGCTCGGCGTCGGGACATGGGGCACGCCTGCGCAGAAGCACGAGCCTCTCACTCGCCTGGCCCCTCCGCTCCGAAGGGTAACAATACCCCCTCAGGAAGACCGCAGGGTAGGCAAGAGGCACAGATACTGCGCGCTCCTCACGCCTAGGCGCGACCCTGCTCGCACCGCCCACCCCGTAACCCTCGAGCGCAACCGTCTCCAAGTGAGCGCGCGCGCGCGTACCCCGGCTCGCGCGGACAGAGTCACCTCACCTGAGTCGGGCTCCGCCCCCCTTCTCCACGGCTGGAGGAGGCGGTGACCCCTCTCCGATCGGACCCGACAGCGTGGGAGGAGGTGGGAACGTCCAGGCTGGCGTCTCGGTGATGGTATTTCCTCCTCGTTCCGCACCCCCGCCCACCCCGCCTGTAGTCCTTCAGCTCCTTCAGCCCCTTCACCGCCGTACTCAGAACTCCGCTGCGGTGCCCGACAGTAAACGGAAGTGACGCTATGAGAGCTCGCCTACTCCGCTCCATTCCTCCTCGCTTTCGGCGAAGCTACAACCAATCAGCAGAAAAGGGGCGGAGTCAGGGCAGGAGTGCAGCCAGCCCGTGCGCGGAACCCGGAGGAATTAACTGGGCCAGCCCATAAACTGACCAATCCACGGTCCCAGGAACCTCGCTGTGTTTACTACAGACCAAATCCTTGAGCACTGTAGCCAATCAGCGCTTTCCTTACAATACGTAAAAAAAGTTAGCAAACGCCTTTTAAGGCGGGATTTATCACTAAGAGGCTCTAGGTTTGGATTCTAGAAAAGCGAGTGTGTGCCTCAGCCAATCAAAACTCGCTGTAGCTGAGGGCTAGGGTTTTCCGCCTAATTCCGCCAATCACAATCACGACTGCTTTTTTTTTTTTTTTTGAGCGAACACGTGAGGCGGGCCTTTGTGTAGCGCGCTCTGCTATTGGCTGATCCTGAAGGATTTTCCCCGCCCCCGCCGCCCCGCCCTTCGGTGACCCCGAGCTCCCTGGTTAAAGTGAGTTTCTTTCGCCCAACTCACTGATTTTCCCGGGTAGAGGTTGAGAAAAAATAAATTTCTAAGACGCTGTTTAAGTCTAATTAAGCCAAAATCCAGACTAAAAAGGCTGAACTAAAAAGCTGATGGCGATCAGGTCCAACCCCACCCCACGTTAGGTCGGGGTGGCGGCGTTTGTCGAAAGCTGGCTCTTGATGAGTTTGGCGGGCTGGTCCAGATTACCGATTCTGACACTACGCTCTGCGTTCGGTGGCTCAGACCAATAAATCGACAGTTTCCAGAACCAAGTTTGTGATCACCTACTCCAGACCAAAGAAACTTGGAAATGCTGAGACATCCATTCCACCTACACCACAGAAGGGTCACAGACTTCCCTGAGACACTTCTGAGAAAAAAAAGCAAGCACCGGGGCGGCGCTCGGGTGGAAAACTCCGGCTGGAGGGCCGCGGGGCATTGGACCCCGGGAAAGAGCCCCCCTTCTTCCCTCGAGGGGCCTCGTCCTGTGGGAGCTGGCTGGGAGCTCTGCGTTACCCAGAGACAGTGGGAGGCACCCGGAGGCGGCTGAGTTCTTTTAAAAATGGCACGCCTATTTGTACAGAACATTCCATCCAATTACCGTCACAGCTGAGTTTACCCCGTGGAAGTTAAAAACATTGCCCATAACCATGGTCTCAGGGGACATCAAGCTCAATTGGCCTAACATACTATACAAACATGTTCCACATCCCACTTTGGTTGAACTGAGATTGGGATGTTAAAAGCTGGTAAGTGGCCATCTAGATGAAAGGATGGGTCTCTCCTCCTTCATAGGGAAGAAAACCAACCACACATGGAAACAATTAGTCTAAGGGACTGGTGGGAGCTCTGGTAGCTTAGTGCCTAAGGAACTTGACTGCTAACCAGAAGGCTGGCAGTTCAAACCAGCCACTCCTCGGAAGGAAGTTTGGGCAATGTACTTCTGTAGTGATACTGCCTCAGAAACCCAAGGAGGGGCTATCGGGTCCCACTCCACCGCACATAACAACAACAAGGGATTGGTAGTCTATGAGATCCTCAGCCTATATGACTATGAGACCAGAAGAACTAGATGGTGCCTGGCTACTACTGTCAACCACTTGGAGGGGGATCTATGTAGGAGATCTTGGATAGAGAGGGAGAACAATGTGGAACAAACTCAAAATCATTGGGAAAAAAAAAAGACCAGGTTTGCTAGTCTGATAGAACCTGATGGAACCACTGAGACTGTGGCCCCTAGTTATCCTTCAGGTCTGGAATTGAACTCACTCCTGTGGCTTCCAGCCGAACAATAGACAGGCATACAGGGTGAACATTTACATCAAGTAGATACGCTCCTTGGGAGTGATCAATCGTGGGAGAACAGAAGGGTCCTGTATGCACAGAGAGAAGCTCAGGAGGCAGTAAGTGGGAGGGAAGGACACAGGGAAGAGGTAACTATGGGGAGGAAGTGGGAAGAGAGCTGTTACATTGTGGGGAATTGCAGTCAATGTCATGGGACGAAGTGTGTGTGGGCTGCTGTGTAGCAGACCCACGGGCTCCGTGGGCTTTCCCGAAGATGGCCGTGCTGCATTGTAGGTTTTGGTCGATGTCATGGGACGAAGTGTGTATGAACTGCGGTATGGAAAATGAATTTGCTCTGTAAACTTCCACCCAAATCACAATACAAATTTATATATAAAAGAAAATTGCCCATAGGCATTTTGTTTTTGCTTTTCTTTAAGGTCTTAATAAATCATGGTAAATCCTCTCATTAAAATTTCTGACATTTTAATAGCTCTTACACATATCTTCCCTCCCAGGTGGTAAAATCATGAAATAAGGAGTGCTGACGGTAAGAGAGTACTTCATGCGTGGCCCTTAAGATAATGCTGTGACGGACCCTGCATGTAGCCGGGTCTTCATTCAACAACCTGCCATCTTCCCTGACCATTTTGGGACTGTCTCTGGACTTGAACTAGTTGTTGTTTGGTACTCTTAGGACTGAGCCATTTTATTTGTCAACCTTGGATTTTTGTCAGCCTCAGCAGTCAGCAGCTGTCTGAGTTAAGAGACACGCCCAGCTTCAGTGGGCCGGGAGCAAGAGGCAGAGGCTGAAGCTCAAGGTTGAGGGGCTTTCACCCAGCCCCTAGAGCTGGTACTTTGAACTCGGACATCTAACCTTCTAAACCATAAGAGAATAAATCCGTTTGTTAAAAGCGCCCCCCCCAAAAAAAAAAAAGATAATGCTGTGAACTAGAGAGTTATCTCCAATCTATGGATTGATAAAAGGTAAAAACATTTGTATATTTAGTACTTAGGAGAGTGTGAAAAACGGCCACCCTCTTCTTATATTATTGGCAGGAGTCCCATTGAAGCTGTCTTTGGAACTAATTTGGTATTATCTATCAAAATTGTAAATGTGCACTAATTTCTTTCTAGTTGACAATTCCTTCCTAGAAATGTATTCTGCTAAAATATACAAATGTGAAAAGTATATACAAGGCTATTCACCTTGTTGGGAGCTCTGGTAGCATAGTGGCTAAGGCACTTGACTGCTAACCAGAGGCTTGACGGTTCAAACCCACCAGCCACTCCTCGAAAGGAAGATGGGGCAATCTACTTCCGTAGTGATACTGCCTCGGAAACCCAAGGAGGTCTGACTCAACGGCACATAACAATAACAACAACAACAACATTCACCTTGTTAGTACCAGGATTTAAAAAGAAAAAAAATTGATATATAAATATTATGGCTTCTTTATCACTAATGGCCATTTACATATAAAACCAATAAAAACGTGTGTGGTACATATAAATGTTTATAACTGTATGGTTAAGTATGAAAGGATAGTATCCAACTGTTTGCATTACTCACCTCAGTACAGGGGAGTGGGATGGGGTGGAATGATGAGGAAATGTTTTAAAAGAACCTTCTTAATTTTTAGTATTTATATTTTTCTGTATTAAATTTTATTACAAATATTTTTTCTGTAGTTATGTGCCGTCGAGTCAGATCTAAGTCATAGCGACCTCTCCTTGGATTTTCGAGGCAGTATCATTACGGAAGTAGATTGCCTCATCTTCCTTCCGAGGAGTGGCTGGTCAGTTTGAACTGCCAGCCTTCTGGTTAGCAGTCAAGTGCCTTCAGCAAACCCAGGAACAATTTTGGTTTGTGCAGGTTTTCCTAAATTTAACTATAAATTTTAAATGTTCCCAAGAGAAGTATCAATGGGATACTTTTTGAAACATTCTATGATCTATAAAGGGAGGTAATATTGTAGGAACAGCCAAGTGCTTTGGTTCTCTAGGGGTGCTGTAACAGAAATACCACAAGTGGATAACAAGGATTTATTCTCTTACACTTTAGAAGGCTAGAAGTCCAAGGTCAAAGTGCCAGCTCTAGGGGCTGGATGAAGGTCCCTCGACCTTGGGCTTCAGCCCTGCCTCCTGTTCCAGGTGCACTAGAGCTGGAGGCTTGTTCTGACTCACCGAGCTACTGGCTACTGAGGCTGACAAACCCAAGATTGACAAGTAAAATGGCACAGTCCTAAGATTAGCAAGATTAGCAAGCAAGACGGCAGGCCACCAGTTCAAGCCCAGAAACAGTCTCAAGATTGGCAGGCAACATGGCAGGCCACTGATGACTCGGCCAAATGCAGGATCCAGCTGTGCCAAGAAGCTAGAGCCCTTTCTCAAAGTGTCTCCTTATACACTGCAAGCGGGCCACATCCCAAAGGCAACTGACTAGCTGCTCACAGCAGATTCCTCCAGGAGGTGATGGCACCACATGCGATCCCATCCCAGGGAATAACTGTATCCAGCCGCCCAGCCACTCAAAACCAGGCCCAGCCGAGGGGCTGCACAACCTTGACTACCACTCCAAGGAAACTGAAGAACAAACATTAACAGGGCAGCAACAGCCCTAACAATTACTAAACTGTATCACAAAGCTTTACTACTTCAAACAATTTGGCACCAGTATATGAAGAACCCAAACCACGCTGTCATCAGGTCAATTCCAACTCATAGTGACCCTTTAAGACAGAGCAGAACTGCCCCCATAGGGTATTCCAAGGCTGTAAATCTTTACAGAAGCAGACTGCCTCCTCTTTTTCTCACAGAGCAGCTGGTGGGTTCAAACCACCGATCTTTTGTTGAGTGGCCAAATGCCCTAACCACTGCACCAACCAGAGCTCCTGCTAGTGTATGGACAGACAGACAAATCCATAGATCAACACAGAGGGTCCAGAAATAGACCTAAATACAGAAAAGAATCTTGGACTTCTAGTCTCCTAAACTGTAAGAGATTAAATCCTTGTTTATTAAAAGGATTTTAGATCAGTGGGAAAATATAGACTGTTTTTAAAAAGTTTTGTGAAAATAGGAAGTCTTTTAGGAATAAAATAAGTTGGATATCTACATGACTTCTTACAACAAAATTAATACCAAAGGGGTCAAATATTATTTTAAATTAAAA